ATGAGGAATTATTCAGGAGTCAGCAGGTGCAGGAGGGCAAAATACCCCTTGTGTAAACTGTTGTAGCTGCTGAGGAAAAGCATGCTAACAGCAGTAAGTCTCCAGTCAGGTGTGTTTCCTAATATTGAACCCCAGAATTAAAGACTTATTCATCCATTTGTAGCTAGACCAGGTATGTGTGCTTTTATTATATTTGTGGCATGAAGGAACAAAGCAACTGTTTGCTTCTTGCCCACAGCTCTTTAACAGGAGAAAGTGTTTAATAGGTAGAACACAGAGAAGCTACGAGTGTTACTTACGCATCAGAAAGGGAAAGTACTCCTCCCTTCTCCCTTCTTGCAGTACCTTATCCTAGGAGTTTAGCAAGGTGCCTGGTATATTGGGGGCATTCAGTGTAGTGACCATTATTTGAGCAATTCCAGTAGCTTCCATTATAACTCACAACATACATTTAATTTTCACATGTGCATTGCTATCTGTGAAACAATGTGTTTTCTATGTAATATTTCTTTTTGATTCTTTTGTGAAGCAAAATAGATAGTTTTAAAAGATTTGCTATACCTTTAAGAGTAGCGGTTTTAAACTTTTGTTTCTTCTGTAAATCTTATATAACTAAGTATGTAGCATAAATTGCACGTATCAGTTCCTTGTATCATTTTCTGTGCCTTAAGTAAACTAAGTATAATTAATTAAAAGGAAGCAGTAGTGGTTAATACCACGGGAGGCCGACAAACACACATTTGAACTCTGGCTATGGCCGCTTATGAAAGCTTACGTTATTAACCCGTGTTAAATTTCTTTGATCAGTGTAAAGTTATAGGTTGGTGATAATAAAGAGGAAATACATACAAAGCATCTCTTCTGGGTCAGACACCAAGCACTCCCTTGATACTTGTTGCTCTTGCTTTCATTTTCATCAATGTTGCGATTCTTTGCCTTTCTAAACTCTCTCTGGTTTTCATGTAGGCTCTGGTGACTACACTATCCTGAATCTCTTAACTTAGAAGTAAAACCATTTTGGGAAAAAAGCTTGGTCTTTTACATCTGCTTTTTGTTTTGTTTTGAAAGTCCTAAACAGTAATCGTTGTCATCTCGTCATCTCTGATCTTTCCGTGGTAGAAAGACATTTACTTCCTACTTACGACTCATCAAGGAAGGTCTTAGAATGCCTTTCAAATTCTCTTTATTTCTTTGCTTCTTCATGTGACCTTGCTGAGCTGTCAATTTGATACCTCTGGCCTTTTTGGAAAACATCATAATGGTATTTGACATGTTAGCACTTCCAGGATATTTAGGGTTTTATATCTTTTTAAAAATTTATTGTTTACAGAAATATCTTTTTTTATTGAGCTTTTTAAATTTCATACGTTTCCCACTCAAATTCAGACCCCTCTCCCCCATTCATGCTTTCCCCTAGCCCCTCACCAAACCCTATGCACTGTGCCGTACATGCTGAGTCCTATTCATTTAGGTGTTTGTACCCAAATGTCCTTCAGTGTAAATGCGTCCACTGGAGTCTAGTCAACCCATCCAGTGGTCGTATGTAAGTCATACTCTTCCCTCACCCAGCAGTAATCAGTCTCAAATAGTTCTCAATCTAGTGCTAGCCCACCACCTATTTCTTGCCTTCCCTTTGGGTCCTTGTTTAATTGAGCTAACATGGGTCCCGTGTTTGACACCACCAACACACCACTGTCACAGGCTCACATGAGCAAGCCTCCAGTGGCCTGGAAGCCTCCACCTCCCTGTGTTCATGAACCAGCCCTGGCTCTTACAATCTTTCTTCCTCCTCTTCTGCAGTGGTCCTTGAGCTGTGGATGGGTGAGGTTCCACACAGGATTCCCATCCTACACTCTACAGTCTCTTATTCTCCAAAACTTGGCCAGATGTGGCCTTCTCTGTGCATTGCACTCTGATGTACAAGGGAGCCTCACTGGTGCCAGTTGAGGGGTGCATTAGCCCTCTCTTTGCCCCTTATTCTGCTATGGTCCATGAGCCTTAGTTGTAGAGATTCGGCTGCAGATGTGTCACCTAGTACTGGGCATCTCCCAGGTGTATGTTCTCTGTGTCTGACCAGATGTGCAACTCTGCAGTAGCCTCCATCTGTTGCAAAAAGAAGCTTCTTTGATGAGTGCTGTACAGCATGCTTGTCACTCTAAGGGAGGTCTGTTCTATCTGGCACTGTGCTCCCTGCCAAGCAGCTTTCAGGTCTACATATGCATTAATGTTCAGACACTATGTGCATTTCTCATAGGGTTTCTAGGGCATCACTTTTCTAGTTCCCTGAGATTCACTAGTCCCCTCATCTCCACTGAGGGAGGAGGGAAACCAGGTTTTATATCTTGAGCTGAAGAAAAATCTCTAACTTTGCCCTCTTTCCTGATGAATACTTCAGTCTATGCAAGTTTGGTCCCTAGAGAAGAGCTGATGACTCCCTGCTGTTTTTATAGGCTGACTTTTGACAGAGACTACTTTTGTTCTGTCCTAAAACTAACGTTATACTAAAACTCATAAAGCCCTTTTCAGTGGACTTCTAAGGTTTTTTTTTTTTTTTTGTCTTTTTGAGACCGAGTCTCCTTGTAGCTTAAGCTGGCCTGGAACTTGCTATGTAAGACCAGGCTGGCCTTGAACTCACAGAGATCTGCCTGCATCTGCTGGGATTAAAGGTGTGTGCCACCATGACTGGCTTGGTCAGTTTTTAAATTTACTTATTTTCTTTCCTTGATGGACAGATAACATATGTTTATCCTGAAAAATTATTCAGATAATACAGAAATCCTGAAGAAGAAAATGATCTCCTATATTTTTACTCACCAAAGTAAAAAAAAGTCAGCTTTGCTATTTTTTGCATGATTGTGTCTATCTAGGTCTTTTTTTAAAAAAAAATTTATTT